AATGGCCTTCAGGCATGAATAAAAACAGCTTTGCAGTTAAACCTACTTGCTTTAAAATCTTGGGAAAAGTTATTTAACACAGATTTCCTTACGTGAACAGTGAGGGTAATAGGTACCTTACCAGGCTGTTAGAGGGGTCCAATGAGATAATAGATATAAAATGCCACATAGTAAATGCATAACAAATATTGGTCTCTTCCATTCCTTCTTCCCTGCCAATTTCCCTTTAAATATGTTGACTTAAAAAGTTCAAGTCATTGAAAAATCAGAAGTTCAAAGAGAGGACAAAAAATTCTGAATTTTCATTTCACCCTATGTAGAATAAACATTTTTGACAATGTCCTTAGGGATTTAGATAGTTAGCAACAAACATAAACGTTAAAGCATCAAAAACAAACAGCTCCTTCACAATATTTCCCAGTCATCTCTTCCTGTCTAGTCCCTCTACAAACTTGCTGGTTGGCCTTTACTTACTCAACCAGATAATAAGAGAACTTTGAGATCTAGTCCAATCCAAATTTCACCAGTAAGGAAATTGAAGTCCAGAGTGACTTTCTCAAGTACATTTAGCAATTTAAACAGCAGAGAATAGACCAAAAGCCTAACACTGGTTGCAAATTAAATGCCCACAGGGACCAGCCAGTAAAAGAAAACTGTGCAGAGGGCTTAGGTAGGCACAGCTGGCTCTGAACTGTGCACTTTAGTTCACCACTAACCTTTGGGAAAGAGGGTCAAGTGTTACTAGAACTTCAACTATTTAAAAAGATACTAGAAACTTTATATAATGTACTCATTTTTAGTTTTTTTTTTTAAGCCTTTCTACTGGTCCATCAAGACACACCAATGGGCATGATTTTTTTTTTTAAATTTTTTATTTTTTGTAGAAGAAATGGGCTGTAGACTGGAGGTATGGGTTGGGGAAGGGAGAGGATTCACCAGAGACAGAGTGGGAGGCCGAATTGGCAGATCTACTCAAATACACTGCTGAGGGAAGCAGCGGGCAGCAGGAGAGAGAAGAGGTCTGCTATACCATGTGCATTAGCTCCCTAGCCTCAAAACTCTTTAGTACAGTGAGCCATCATGATTGGCTGTGGAGGTTATAGCACTGAGACTTAATCCTTAGGCTACCAAGGAGGCCCTGGGCTGGATTTATCCACAGTTGGAGACCCCTGCACCCTGCTAACCGTAATATACATTTCTTTCATTTACTTTGATTCTCACATTCCCTGCTGAAAAAACTTCAGTGGTTCCCACTGTCTATAAGATAAAGTGCAAGTTTATTAACCAGTCATTCAAGGAAATTCATCACTGTATTCAAGACCCCAAATGACATGTCCATCTTACAACCTCAATTTCAGTGCAACCAGAACAACCACTGGCTTCTCCTCCAGGCACACAGATGTGCACAGCGGTGCCTGCCCAGGTATCTAGGCTTTTCATTTCACAAAATGTCTTCCTTCCACTAGTGTAAACTTGTTTATCCCTAAGAGTCCAGCTCAAACACCACCTTGCCACATAACAGCTAAAAGCCAATTTCAATAGGATTTTGTATCACTCACATGACACTTACATATACCCCCTTGTTTTATACAGTGCATTTCCACAATCACCTAATACAACTCTTGGAAAGAACGGTTTTGGACTAAGAGATATGAATATCCCCACAGGGCTTTGCACATAGCAAGAAGTTCAATAACCACCTTAGGAACATCATCCTTCTATAATGATGTGTGGATCAAATATAAAGAAAATACCTTTGCAGCACTCCATTAATGAATGTTTTTTATAAGCAGTGCAAAAAGCGGAAAGCCCTAACTCCCTAGAACTTTTTCCTACTGAACTACTTTTGCTTGCTTTGGGATTTCCTTCTCCAGTACACATCTTTGTCTTTGATAAAACTGATTCTAAGAGATCTCTGCTAAGTATTCATTTGTTTCCTGAAACCATTTCAGGGGAGTTGGTTTCTTTCTGAATAAGACTAATTTAATCAGACCTGGATGCTATTCACTGGCTAGACGGAGTTAACGCTCCAAATATTTCAGCTGTGATAAAACTGACAAAAGAAAGTGAACAAGCATCATTAAATCATGGCTGTCCAGCAACCAAGACTAATTTTCAAAGTGGAAGTCCTAAGCTTTGGTTTTTCTGAAGTCATCCCTATCTTCAAGTATCTATATTCAGTTAGTGTCAAAAAAAAAAAAAAAAAAGAGGAAATTTTTACTTCGTTTTATTTTTACTGACCTGGCCAACACTAGAGGCACTCAATAAAATGTTTGCTAAATGAAAGTGGTGCTGGGAAAACTGGGAAGCTACATGCAAAAAAA